GACGTAGACGTACGAACGTAACGTAGTAAGTACGAACGAACGAACGACGACGACGTAGAGACGACGACGAGAGAGAGTAGAGAGAGAGAGAGAGAGTAGTAGAGAGAGAGAGAGAGAGAGAGAGAGAGAGAGAGAGAATGAAGCACTTCCATGTGGAGGAAACGTAGGACGCATGGCTTCCTAGGTCGAAGCTTTTTGTTACCTCTGAGATGGCAAGAGAGAGAAAGGCCAGCACATGATATAAAAAAGCAGCCGTTGCTTTTATTTCGTAATTTTAAAATTTAAAACATTTTTATTCTTTATAGATAGAATAGAAAAGATGGATAGCATCAAGCTCGGAATGATTTCCGGCAAAGCTGTCTCCAACCGAAAAGAGAGGGAAAATGGAAACGGACGCACACATTCACCTGTAAACCCTACCTAATTAAACATATACTTGGACATACAGTGACTGGGACCGGCCGGCCGGCCGGCCCGGGAAGTACAGTGTGAGCTGCCTGTCCTTGAGGTACAGCTATGATACGACATGCAAAATCACTCTACAACGAATTACAGCTAGATAGCCGATGCGACGGGCCGGGCCTGCGTCGACCCGGACCTGACCCAATTAGGTTCATATGAACCTGGATCTAATCGTGGGTCAAGAAATAAAAAAAAAACGAAGATATTTTATCATTTTATATTATATTTTGTATATTTTTTATACCAAATAAAGTCGGCTACTGGGAGGACCCCGACCCGGACCAACTCGACTGATAGGTTCCAACCTACTTATGGGTCTAACATTTGAACCTGGACTCCGATCGGACTTGCCACCCCAGCAGCTGGACAAAAATATAAACCCTTCAATTATCTTAAGTACTTTCGATGATATTACCCTCTTAATTTCACAGCTAATGGCCAAGAAGATGGTAACCAACCTCCTTATACTAAAAAGGAGTTCACAGCAAATGGCCAAGAAGATGGTAACCAACCTCCTTATACTAAAAAGGAGACCGGTAGCATGCGGCCAAGCCCACACATGTAGAAATACGTCTTGGTAATAAATATATCTTTTAAATATAATTTGATCTTAATTTTTAGAGAATATATAATATTTAACATGAAGATCATGATTATAAAAAAATTTATAAAGTTTAAAAATTAGAAATAATTATTATATTAAAAAAACATTTAGACCATTAGTTACAAGTGTTTTTAGATAAACTACCTATTTACATCCATCATTAAGATGGATGAACCCCATATCATAGAAATGCGATCCAGCCAGCATTAAACAATTGTTCTATTAAAAATAAATGGACTAACTCTGCACTTTTCATTGATTAATACCCACTTCAATTCCAAAATAAAAAATAAAAAAACAAATAATTATATTGTGCCTCCACTCATGGGATAAATATGACCTCAAATCTGAGAAAAAACTTAGAGAAACAACAAGACTTTGTCCCTACCCTTCACTTCCCTTGATGCCAGTGTTCTAAAACTCACGATGCCAATCCGAAATCCTCCGAGTTAGATTGAAATTAGTGCAGGGGTGAATTAGTTCTAGGGAATCTTTGAGATTCCCCAAGTCCCTTGATTTTTTAGTTCTTTTTTATTTTCTATTGTATCCATCTAATGATTTGACTCGACAATTTTCTAAGTCTGATTTTCGCCGTTGTTATTTTAAGCAACACTCCCTTCCAAGGTTTTAAAACACACTTCGGTGACCAGAATTGTCAATATGAAAAATCAGTCTGGACTAGTGGATCAGTGATCCGATTGAGAGAACTAAAAAAACTAAAGGTGGGGCCAGACCGGTTGGTTCCCTGATAGAACTTGTCGGTACTGTCAAAGGATCAGTTGTTTTTTAAAGAGAACAATCATGTTCTAATATACGTTGAGAACCAGACTCGCCCAACCTATTCTCGGATCAAATTGGGCTACTCTAACCCGACCCGGCAATTTTTAAAACGTTGCTTCCAAAAAAAAAATGTTCTCTTGTATACGTAGGGCGGTCGGATGGGAGTTAGTTTGGGCAGTTTATCCACTTTTCATTAGAAACAAAATTTGTGGACAACCAAAATTGTAGGCACTTGGGATTCCAATTCAACCGCTGTGAAAAAGACGGGTCAAGGTCTCAAGGATGAGTCTTACTTTAGTTTGTTGATATAAAAGGCATCACCTTGAATTTCTTTGGTATCACTAGGATAAATATGTAATAATGGCATGAAAACAGTATCAATCCAGTTAGGCAGACCATTCATGTTGGATTTAGTTCAATGTTTTGGCACTTTATTTTGGAAAAAGTTTATATGAGGTTGCAATTTTAGAATGTAGAATTAAAAATGTCTCTCGAAAATCCATCGAAAAAAGTTGTTTTAATATTGAAAAACCCTCTAATTGATCATCTCGACATCGAGATATATACATATTAAAAAAAAAAAAAAATTGAGTCTTAAAAATATTATATCTTGCATCACATTGACTAATCATTCATTTTCAAGGTTTTCATATGTTTGTATATCTACATGATTTTAACCATTTTTGGAGTTTAAAATTTTGTAATTAAAGATAGAAAATAGATTTTCATATAATCCTAAGAATTTTTTATGCTAAAAATACATGTTATAATACAATTTGTAGTTGTGCCTTTATTGGATTGTTTAATGTTGCAACCTTATACAAATCACACTAAACTTTATCTTTATTACATGGTGGTCACAATCAATCTTGACCATTAGATGTGAAATTAGATGGCTGGACTTATTCCATTGACCAAACTCAAATTTGAAAAGAAATTTTCTTAAACTTAATGACATACCCAAGCTATTAGATTTTACATCTTATTATAGTAATTGTGACCTCTTTGTATAAAAAATAAATGGTCTCATTATCTATGATCCTTTATTTTTATTATTGATTCGACTATTTAAATGCATTTATTGTATCCTACTCTTTGAACATGACACTCCACCAAGACCGGTCCTCCATCCTTGCTTTTTCCGCCCATATTAGTTTATCTTCCCCAAAATCCCAATCACGGGCTTGGGCCGGTGCCAGCCTGGTGGGCTGTTTTGGCTCCTGCCCTCTTTGTTTTTTATTTTTATTTTTATTTTTTTCATTTGTTTTTTACCCGGCCTTTATGGGTCTACACTAGAAACTCTAGAGATAGAACATGTGTATGTTGTTTCAAATGTAACCTCATTTATTACGTTCCCATTGAGAAATCAATGTTTCATAAAACACCCACTGATTCCAGCAATAACAATGAGAAATAAACATTAATTTTCACTTATTAGAAACTTTTTGAGAGAATTGTAGGTTTTCCTTAAGCGATGCAAACAAACCCTAATTTCGGAGCAACTCGATTAACATGGGTGGCAGTTATGACAAAACATGAAATAGGGTGAGAGTCATGAAAAATTCAGAAATTATGGTGGCAAATGGGCAATGTCTTGTATGGTTCTTTTACGTTTGCCATGTGGAGGTATTTTGGCATTCCTAAATAGAAAAGCATTTAGTTATAGGTACTTAATTTAATGGAATTAGTCTTTAAGTTGACGTATCTATTAAAAAAAAATTTCAGTAACATGGGGCTCATACTTCATTAAAGGGCAATAAATAGCCATTCTATGCTAAAATATCTTTTTCTTTCCTAATTTTCCGGCAGATTATTATTAATGAAAATCGTGCTGGGGCTTCTCCCCACTAACCTACCCAAAAAAAAAAAATGCCGGATGAGGTGCTCCATAAGAATTAAAAGGCATTATTACTTGAGTGGAGTTCTACCATAGTCTCCTAAACTATTTGAAAATGTCTTTACCACTGAATTACTAAAAAAAAAAAAAAAGTTGTCATAGTCATGGTGGCTTAATGAGAAAACTAGTGTCAATTTTTGGTTTTTGAGAGGTCATATCCATTGGCACATAGTTAGTATATGCTGGTCATTATCAAAAGAGGGGTTTTTTATTTATTTATTTATTTATTTGAGATAATTCAGTGGAAAAAAAGCCCTGCCCGTTTTTTAAAATAGATTAAGAGTTAGCATTTTTTTTTTCTTGAAGATCTTAGTGGGGTGGTATTAGTGGTGGTTTCCAACTTAGAAGGTTATGTTTCTAACTTAATTTATTATGGTGAGATGCCAAGAACCCCTAGGTGTGCCCCCACAAGCATTCAAGGATGCCTCAGGCTTAATGTTGGTTTGGTAAAGATCTTACGGTTGTGGGTCCAAAAAGTTCTTAGTCATTCACCCCAAAAAGCAGTGGAAGTCCACCTAGGATTGTCATATGCTCCACTTATTATTCAAACAAGCATAAATAATGAGCAAAAAGAACTTGGCAAAAGTATTAAATAGATTGTGAGGCTAATGAAGTTCTCATCTAACTCAATTAAAGAAAACTGAAAACTGAAGTCTACAATCCTCCCTTCTTTTTTTTTTTGGTGGGGTTTGCATAAATTTTTTTAGGTGTATTTTGTATAACCTTAAACAATCAAAGTAAGGTGCACCTTCAAATAACCTTGAATGATATTTCAGCACAGAAAAATTTGGTGATATCCTCAAAATTCATTTTTATATCTAATTATAAAATTTAAAGCTTCAAAATTAGTTTAGATTGAGTAGATCTATGAACACTTGAAATCTTGAAAATTAACAGTCCAGAAAATGTCTTACAAAAAGCAATATTTTCAAGACTTGAAATCTATTTTTTCTTTTGTCCATACATCTTGATGTCGAGATAACCAATTTTAAGATCTTTGGACATCGAAATAACCTTTTCTAGTGACTTTTTAAGGTGCACCTTAGTTTGATTGTTTAGGGCCTCACCCATACATAGACCTCTTCCTTTTTTTTTCCTTTTTTTTCTTTTTTCTGAAAATTTAAGTTTTTATTTCAAATTTACATTTTATTCCTTTCGGACGGTTGGTGACTGAGAAACACATCAGCAGCGATGGCGGAGATTAAATGCAAGTCTCAGTAAAAGTCAAGAGAAAAGGGTTGGTGATCAAGGTGTGTAATTGTGAAGAATTGATGGTGAATTGGTTTGTCAATTACAATTTCCCTTTGTAAAAGTCATCTTGCTTTGTCTATTTATTGTTGTATTGGTTAACAGGAGGACATACCTTACCCTTGATTCCACTGTTGATCAAATTGCTAAAAAAGACTTCAGTTTCATGATAAATCGAATTCCTTTGGTCTCGTTTGATATGGGGTCTTCTTAGAAACTCCGGATGATTTTACATCATTCAAATCCGAAATTAGAATCGTAAAGAAATAGAACTCAGCCCAAATATGGAGATAATATCCTCCATGTACGACGGGAAATAGCATTCTACATACATGTAACATGCAAATAGAAAGTAAGAACAGTTTGGATAACTCCATAAAGATTTCTAGTTCATCCAAAGAGATATCACT